TACCATCCACCTTTGGCAAACCAGAAACGAAGTCTATGGAAATGGAGACCCAGGGCTTCTTTGGAATGGGAAGAGGCTGTAGCAAACCGGCTTCCTTCTTGTGCTCAACTTTGTCTTGTTGGCAGACCAAGCACGTCTTGACATACATCTCAATGTCATCTTCCATCTTGGGCCAATAATAGGAACGAGATAGAAGAGCTAACATATGCTTTACTCCTGGGTGACCTACCCACTGCGGATCATGTGTTTCCCTCAGTAATTCCCGATGTCTCAATCCCCTATTGCTAGGAACAAACAATCCATCTCCTTTCAACATGGAGTAGATCATCTTCCAACTAGTATTTGCGAACAACTCCCTCTTTCACTTCTTGTACCAATTTTTGATAAGTAGCATCCCCAACAGTATTCTTGCGAACTCAGTTCAACAGATCTGTCTCAATAGTTGAAATGGCAGCCACATTCTTCGACTGTCTTCCTACTTAGTGCATCAGCAACCTGGTGCCTACCAGGCTTGTGTTTCCACTCAAAGTTATACTCTTCTAGCAATTCTTGCCACCAGGCTTGCCTTGGAGACAACTTTTTCTGCAATTTAAAGAATGTATTAGCCACATTATCTAGTAAGACCAAAAATTTAGTCCCCAACAGATACACCCACCAAGTAAGAAGGCAATGCACCACAGTAGTCATTCCTTCTCGTGCACTGAATAATTCTTCTCCGCAACATTTAACTTTCTACTTTCAAAAGCCACAGGGTGTCCCTCCTACACCAAGACTTCACCAAGTGCTTTGTCTGAGGCATCAACGTGTACTTCAAAAGGCAATTCAAAGTTGGGCAAACGCAACACCTGCTCGCTCGACACCGCCATCATCAATTTGTCAAAGGCCGCTTGACAACTAACGGACCAATGCCAAGCGTGATTCTTCCGCAACAAATCAATAAGGGGAGCAGCCATCTTAGAATATTCCTCGATGAACTTCGATAATAATTTGCCAACCCAAGGAAGGATCGCAACTCTGCTACATTGGTGGATGGAGACCATTCCACTATAGCCTGCACCTTCTTACCATCCATCTTGACATGTCCTTTGCAAATGATGTGCTCAAGAAACTTAATCTCTTTCTGAGCATACTCGCATTTTTCCTTTTTCACATATAACTTGTTTTGCCTTAACCACACAAAAACTATTCGAATATGGGTCAAATGATCCTCCAAGGATTCACTATAAATTACAATAGCATCCAAATAAACTACTACGAATTGATCAACATAGTCATGGAACACATCGTTCGTTAGATTACAGAATGTTGCTGGAGCATTGGTTAAACCAAATGACATAACCAAAACCTCAAAAGACCTATACCTTATTACACAAGCGGTCTTAGACTCATCCCCTTCAACCACTCTGACTTGCCAATACCCAGATTTTAGATCTAACTTGATGAAGTAGGTAGCCTTGCACAAACGGTCGAACAAGTCTGCCACCAAAGGAACTGGATATTTGTTTTTGGTTGTCACTTCGTTCAAGGCACGATAGTCCACACACATTCACAAGGTCCCATCCTACTTTTGGAAGAGCACCGGGGCACCGTAAGGGGCTTTGGATGGTTGCACCAACCCCATATCCAACAAGTCCATTAATTACTTTCGCAATTCAGCAGGTTCCATAAGAGATATTCTGTAAGGTGCTTTCGCTGGAGGCTTGGCACCCAGAACCAACTCTATCTTGTGATCAGTGGCACGTCGAGGCGGCAAAATTTTTTAGAGGAGTGTGACTTCGAGTGAAAGCATAAGCCTGGTCAGCACAACCAGGTTGCGGATGCATTGAGTAGGAAGGTGGATGAGGGATATGTGGCTGCCATTTCTACCGTTGAGTCAAATCTGTTGGACCGAGTTTGCGAGAATGCTGTTGGGGATGCCGCTTATCAGAAGTTGGTACAACAAGTAAAAGAGGGAGTTGTTCACAGATACTAGTTGGAAGATGATCTACTCCATGCCAAAAGAGATAGATTGTTTGTTCCTAGCCAGTGTTGTGAAAGGCGCACCTAGGTGCCAAGCGTGATGAGGCGCAGAGGCTGCGACTAAAGGAACCCAAGGCAAGGGCGATGTGGATGAGTCGTGTACCTTGGTTGAGCCTTAGGTCAGGCGTGAAAAGGCTAAAGGCGCCGCTTAAGCATGCCTTTTTATTTTGTTCCCCCCCTGATGCTTGTCTAATGGCTCTGATATGAGTTTGAAAGGGTGCAACCACATAGGATTGTAACTCATACAACTTAATACCCAAATCAATCAACGACTGAAAGCCCTAAAATCGATCGAAGAAAGCTTAAGGTGTCGTCTCTTTTCTCCCTCTAGGCTTGTCGCGACTTCGTCTTTGCTGGGTGGCTGCAACTTCGTCTTCAGGTTCGTCTTCTTCTTCTTCTTCTTCTTCGCTGCTAAACTAAACTGTTTACACCAAAAACTTCCTCTCAAATATCTTGGTTTGCCTCTTAGGGCAAATCTTAGGAGAAAGAAAACCTGGTAACCTGTGGTGGATAGAATAAAGCTTAACTTAGCATCATGTAAAGAAAACTACGTAGATTGACTTTGATTAAGTCAATGTTATCAAGTCTCCCAAGCTTCTATATGTCTATCTTTAAATTGCCTAAAGGGGTGGCAAAGAGTATTGACAAGATACAAGCAGCCTTTCCTTGTGTGTGTGTGTGTGAAAAGGAAGGTTCATATGGTTAGTTGGAAGAAGGCAACAAAAAATGAAAATCGAGGGTCAGGAGTCAGAAAGATAAGGGAAATGAATGAATGCTTGTTGGTAAAATGGTGGTGGAGGTATGGAGTTGAAGATGAAGCTCTGTGGAAACAAGTTATAATTTGCAAATATGGTTCTGAAGGAGGTACCAGTTATGAGTGGTGGCGGAAACATGTCAACACTATGGAATGATATTGTGTCTGTTGCTATGACTAATCCTGTGGTGTTTAATTTCTTTGTATCTAATCAAGGATAGTGGTTGGGAGTGGAAACAGGACTCAATTCTGGACAGACAAGTGGGCTTTGAACATACGAATTAAGGATGAATTTCCTAGATTGTTCAGTTCGTCAGTAGATAAGGAAGGCTCCCTTATGATGTTCTACAATAGAAGAGGTGAGTCAAGAGATTGAAATTTCTCTTTTAGAAGACCTCTCCTAGGTTGGGAGAAAGAAGAGGTTGGCCGGCTCCAAGATTTGTTTATTGAAGCTCCAGTTCTTTGGGAAAATTGTCCTGATGTACTTAGATGGAATGCATCTTCTTTTGTCCAATTTACTGTGGCATCAGTTGGGAAGTAGTGTGAAGCAAAGCATGGTCAGAATTATTAGATTGGTGGGATCTTCAATGGGCTATGCCTGGTACAGTTGAAGGGGTGCTTCAATGGTGGTCTGGTGTTAAATTCAAGAAGCTGGAATGGCAAATTTGGAAGGCATTACCTTTTGAGTTAATGTGGTCAGTATGGAAATTAAGGAATGATTGTGTGTTTAATGGAGGTCAGCCTAAGTTGGATGAGTTAGGTGAGATTGTGAAGGTGAGGGTGGCTCTATGGTTTAAATTTAATTCAAAAGGGGTGCCATATTCAGTGCATGACATAGTCTCTAATCATAGGCAGGTCAGGTATTGTTAGAGAGGTGGGTGAAGGTGTTTTTCTGCTGGGAGGGTGTTCAGTGGGGCTGGATCATAGTTTTCTGATTTTGTAAAACAGCGGGGGGCTGGTGCTGCTGCTTTTGTGGTTGCTGCTTTTGTAGTTGTTGGGTTAGGTTGTGCATTTGGGTTTCAGTTTCGCTTGTTCTTTCTTGTTGTTTGGCTCAGAGCAGGGCTGTTCTGTGTTTTGGTCTGAGATTGTTGCTGCTGTTTTTTTGTTGTTGTAGGCTTTATTTGCGCTTGAGCTTTGTTGCCTTGTATTTTATGGCTGTTTTGTAGTTTAACTAGGTTGGCTACTCACCAACTGTTGGCGTTTGTGCTAGCAAACGATTGGGCTTGCTTTTCGATGCCAACCTAGTTGGAATCGTCTAGCTTTGTTGTGATGCTCTGAGCACTCGCCGTTTTCCTTTATTGATGTAACTTAAATGTATCTTGTTCAGTTGTTTTTCATCAATGAAGGTTCTCTTTTGTTGATCAAAAAACAAAAAAAAGGGCCACAAAAACCAACATGTGAACTAGTAAACAATTATTATGTATAACCAATGTTTTAAAAAAAGGATCAGTGAGTGAACTAGAAAAATGATCAGGTGGACGGGTCACCGGTTCAACCGTTGGGTTGAACCGGAATCGAACCGTGACGTCATAAATATATTAAAATTACATTTAAATAAAAATATAAGTAATAAAATTATAAATTAAAAAAATTAAATAATCTTAAATATTTCTCCAAATACTTTTTTTACTAAAAAATATAAAAATATATTTTAAAAAATTATTAATTTTAATTTTGAAAGAAGAAATCAAATATTCAATATTCTCTCCATATGATTTTAATTCAAATAATTTGATTCAAAGAAGAGCAAAAATTTTGAAGGGATATCAAAATTTTAAGTTTCTCTTCAATAAATTTGATTGAATCCCACATAGATTTCTTGAGTTTTTTTGGAAGAATTTTTTTCTTATAAATAGGTAGAGGCTTTCACAATAATTTTAAGCTCTTAATGGGATTCCTCACAAGAGGAGACCCTTAAAAGAGAGTTTCAAATTAAAATTTTCTTTTATATATATATACATAATAAGAAAGAAAGAAAGAAAGAAACGAAAGAAAGAAAAAAAAAAAACGAAATAGGCCGGTTTTTTATGTCAAACGGTTTAGTGGGTGTATCCGGATGGGAACCCCGACCGGTCGACAGTTCAACCGGTCGAACCAGCCGGTCCGGTCCTGTTTTTAAAACCTTGTGTATAACTAACATGAGACCATTGCTATGTCATTGTTTACATCTGTATGTGCATCTGTAGTTCGGAAAAAGAGAGAAGGAATACAAGTAACTGTTACTGACCTATTTCATCATAGTAGTCGCTTTTGTCATATCCATGGGGGTCGAATACATCTTTACTGAAGCAAGAACCTATCTGATCAATATCTTGATATGTCACTGCATGAAGCAAGAAGTCAGGATTTCGATACTCCTTTTTATTACGCACTTCTGCATTGTAGCTTTTGCCAAGTCGCTTTAGGTAAAGAAATTTGTTAATTTTCTCCTGCATTTAGAAAAACATGAAGTAAAAGATTTCAGGACAACTAACATCAGCAACACATTTAGAGTAGCCACATTGTAAAATGAGTTCAACAACATTAAGTTACAGGCAAAAACATAGTTAAAACGATCTACTCAGTCAGTAACTAATCAATACTCAAGGATTGGTGAAACAACGTAGCGGAATCACATCCAATGAGCAATCTCAATTTATGGTAGGAACCACAACATTATTGGGTTAGTGGGAGACAAGACTTTCCACCTAATCCCATTTGCAGTTCTTTATTGGCCAGTGACACCATGTAGAATGGTGTACGATGGTATCACCATTACACTCAATATATTCTCCATTAATAGGCCCCGAAGAGGGAACCTCTAATCAATCACATGAAAATTGGGTATCAAGACCACAATCCTGACCCTTGCTACTTATCAAAAATTGCTTAAATTAGAAAAAAATAATGAAATCACTGGGTACCAGAAATACCACTCATCCAACTGACTTATCTAAGCTCAAATTTTAGCAGAATTGGCCTGAGCCTCTCATCAACCACTGGCGCAACAAAACAAGGTATCTACTACAGTAGTTTGTTCACAAGTTGTTTTCAACAGAAGCACATCACAAAAACAATAGAAATAAAAAATAATAATTAAAAAGAAAAAAAAAAGTAGGATAGAGAAAATCTAGATAGGCCCCATGTAGGTCATTACGTGTTTTATTTGAAGCTTTATTTCTTTAGGAGGGGTGTTATCAAGGGAATTCTTCCAGAAATATTTTCTTTCTATGAAATGTGTCCAAAGAAATATCAACCAAACTCTGACATTGGATCAGGCAAAATAAATCCACCTTAGCCAACCATAGAAAAATGAAACTCCAAATAAATAGGATAGGTCTAGTTTACAAGCCATTAATGTTGGAAGAAGAATGGAACAAACAGGAAATGCCCAGTGAACAAGCCTCCGGCTTTACAGCAGGGAAGCAATAAATAATAATAACTATTCTAAAGAAGGCTTATATTCCTCTTAATTCTCAGGAGCCTCTTTCTTCCTTAACTTTCAAAGCATGTATTCTAACTGCTCCACAAAGTTGCACGAAAAAACAAACTCACATAGAAACATTATAAGTTGTGCCATTACTCCCATAAGAAAAGATTCTTCAGCCTTCACTTATTTAGAATATGAATACAAGAAGTACATGGTAGATATCCAAGTCTGCAAACGTTAGATTTTGACCATAAAAGTTAAATTGTTCAAGCAGGAAACTTTGCACCCCATGTTGAAGCCTTATATACATTAAACACCTCATGTAACCAAAACTTGTTTACTAAATCTGTATTTGCACTTTAACCAAAGAAGTAAGCCACCTAAACCAATAGAAGTTAAAATGTTCAAGCAGGAAACTTTGCACCCCATGTCGAAGTCCTATATACATTAAAAATCTCATGTAACCAAAACTTGTTTATTAAATCTGCATATGCACTTTATCCAAAGAAGTAAACCACCTAAACCAATGTAGATGCCCTCAACTAGTGTAGCAACCCTCACCTTACTCTTGTCATACTTGCATACATTCGTGCATGATCTTGTCTTGTTATGTTGTTTTGCAAGTTTTGCCTTGCCTTGTTTTGTTTAAGTGTTGCCTGCATGATTTTGTTCCTTGCTTAGTGTGTAGCCGAGGTCATCTTGAACTTAGTTCACCTCTGAACCTTTGCACTTAGAACTGTTTTGGAACCACTTGGTCGACCCCCATCTTCACCCCGGGCATGGTTGCCGAGACGTTTTGCACTTAGTAATCCTTGTCCTTGGGCAGGTATGACCTAGACCGAGGTGTGGCACACCCCGGCCAAGGTGTGGCACAGCTTAGTCAAGTGTCGTCCTCCCTAGCCGATGTCTTTGTTACCCTGTTGCCGAAGCTCTGACTTTAGCCGATGTCATTACATGCCGATGTGTCTTGCCTTAGCTTGCTGCATACGCTTTGTCACAAACTTGTCTTATCAATCAATCACCTTTTGAGTTGAACCAACCCAGTAGCGCCACGTGTCCGAGCTGATTGTCAAGACAGCCGGCAGACCTAGAAACAAATCATTTTGTCTCAAATCTTTGCCTTTAGAGAGAGAAGCTCTAGAGAAAGGAGGGGAAGTTCTTGAGTGAGAATAGATCTTCCAAGCTTGATCTTCGAGGTTTGAACCATTGGATTCGAGTTTTGAGGTTAAAATCTTAACCTACTCTTGTTGCTCTTATTGATCATCTAGCTGCATTGCATGATCGAATCTGTTTTGCATGTCATGCATCGATCTGAAGTTGGTTTCGAAAGAGAAAGATAGTATTCATGTGTTCTTGAAGAAAAGTCTCGTTTTGTTCCGAAAGTTTGGAGCAAAAACCATGTTTTTGTGTTTGTTCTTGCATGACCTTCTTGTATGGGTACCCAGGTCCATGTTTTGAACTTTTGGCATGAAATCTCAGATTTTTGTAACGAGTTATGATCTTGCATTCATCTTCCTCATGATCATGTTCATCATGTTCTTCATGTTCTTCAAAGGGAAATCCAGGTTTTCCTAACTTTGCTTTTGAATGAGGCCATTGGGACCACACCTCGGCAAGGAGGTGTGGGACCTCGGGAAAGACCTGGTTGGTACCCGGTGTGTTTTCCTGAGACGGAAGCAGTGTTTAAACTCCCAGCATGTTTTGCTTTGTCATTGACTTGGATCTGGTGAGAATGCCAGGATCATCTGCATGCATATAAAGCTTGTTTTGAGAATGTGATTGCCATGTGATTGTAGGTCCTTGATCTTTGCTTTGAGCCTACACCCGAGGAGATCTATGTGAGTGGTGTTTTTAATAAAGCTATGTTATACTGTTTTGATAAATCTTGCTTTGCTTTGTTTTGACGAAAGTATTTGTTAAGCATGAATGAATAGCTCTGTTTTGATGTATCAAGTATAAGCTTTGTTTTGATGTCATCTTTGACAAGTCCCTTGTGCTGGAGGACTCTAAACTTTCGCAGCACTAAGTATAAAAGGATACGGTCCTTTCTTGGAAAGACTATCGTGTTAAAGCGGGCTACGGGCCTAAGTAATACAAGACTATCGTGTTAAAACGGGCTACGGGCCTAAGTAACACAAGACCACCGTGTTAAAAAGAGCTACGGGCTTAAGTAACACAAGTCCCTTGTGCTGGAGGACTATAAACCTTCGCAGTACCTTTGACTAATTGATTACGGATCGTGCAATCCTTGTTTTGTCACTGACAGTTTACCGCGTGGACTTGTTTGTTCGGAAAGCTTGATTTGTGTTTTGCCGATGCCAGTGAGCATCCCTTGAGACTTGTAAGACTTGATATATGAATACAGTCCATCTCTTGTTTTGATAAAGTTTTGATGTGTTTTGCTCTGGAAGGATCTCGGCTAATATTCGTATGGTCTTGGCATGTTTTGTTTGGAAAAGACTTCGGCTATATTCATGCAAAACCTTTATTACTAGTACCATTCACTGAGTATCCAAGCTCACCCTCTCTATATATATGTAGGTGATGAGCAGGACGGCGGCGACGCCTAGATGTGTTTTGCAAAGCTTGTTTTGGATTCTTGTCTGGTCGGCTTGACTTGTTCTATGTCGGAAAATTTGTATTTATGTCGGCAATTCTTGAAAATTATGCTTCTTGGCTTGTATTCACTGTATTTTGTATATGTCGGCTTGAGAAGCCTTTTGATCAAGATGTAATACGTATTTTACTTTGTTGTATTCAAGTTTGTAAAGTCATGTAAAGATGTATGTCATTCCATTTGACCTATGCACTGCTCTTAGGGACCACTTGTATTTTAGATTATTGCTTCCGCATTTGTGAGCCCCGTTTATTATACTCTGATTGTGTTAAACTTATGAAAGTTGGCCTTCGGCAATCTCGGATTACTGGCCATCACGGCACCAAACTACTAGGGGCGGTTTGAGGGCGTGACAACTAGTGTGGTGGTTCAATACCTTTCTGCCACATTTTTCCAAACTAATGTAAAAGCTAAGGGACTACACCACAATGGGAGTCAGCAAGGTTGAATCACAGTTAGATACTTTTTTTCAAATGAGAAGAGAAGTAGCCTAGCATCTATGTTACACAGACTCGGGTATGGGTGTCGGGTGCGGGTATGTATCTACAGGTCGGACTTATTATATCTTAAATTTAAGGGTACGCGGATTCGGAAAAAAAATATTATATTTTTATATTTTTAATCTAATATGAGAGATAAAATGGTACTATATGTAACTTATAGTGTCAAAATGACATTTATAGTAATTATACAATAATATGCACATATAATAATTGTGTTATATATAATTATATAAGAAGTATCCATTGAAAAGTATCCGACACATATCCCATACCCTTGTCCAAGTGTCGGGTGTCCGACACGGGTATTTGATCTATTTTGAAGAGTCCGTGTAACATAGCCTAGCATAGGACTTCAAAAGGTTGCAAAAGCACTTGGCCTTACAGTGAGACTTCAAATTACCCTACTTCTCGGACTCACCAAGATGGGATACTTCAAATTAACCAAGGCACACAGCATCCCAACCATCCTATTTTCAAGTAGCTATAGTTACAGTTCAATCACATATCCAGAACAAGCTAAGTTTTCTAGGAAAAATATCACAGTGCAAACTGTCAAAACTAAGAAGCACAGACATGGATATAGTCACGGACACGGAACACGACAATTTCAAAAAAATAGAGACACAGACATGGCAGGACACGATAATAAAATATGTTTTTATATATTTTTATTTGCTACCTAGATTAATATTACATCAGCAAACAATCAATATTAACAAAAACTAACTCAAATTATATATTTTATTTTTTTTATTTTTTTTTAAATTTAAATTAACACTTACAGTTTATATTTTTTTTTATGGATGATCTATCAAGTATTTAAATCTAACAAAAAAATAATAAACATTCAACATTTATTAAAAGTACTAAAGAAAATAGGGAAAAAGACACCTTGGCAATCCTAGTGTGTCCCAAAAGTGTCCCCGGTGTGTTCCCTGAAAATAAATTAATTAAATAAGGGGACATGCCATGTGACGTGTCCCATACATGTCCCCACCGTGTCCGTGTGTCCAACACAGATACGGCACTTGTTTTGAAGTGTTGGTGCTTCATAGAGTCAAAACTATTCTAGGTATTGAAATGTAAACAATAAAGAGCCATGGAAGCAATTGAATCTGTTTAGACTTTAAAATTTGATATGTCATGAAAGAGGAAGGGAACATCAAGGTCCAAAGCAACAGACAGACATATGATGAAGCATTTTGAGGGAACTCATTTCAAAATATCGAAGTTCTGTACATATTGTAAGTTTTCAAATATCAACTACCAACAAGAGAATACCAGTTCTGAAGGCACTTACTTGCAGTTCATCAGAGCACTTAGCCTTTGGTGGTGGGGGAAGAAACCTGTCCAACGAATCAACATCCTTAGGAAATTCCACAGAAACTGTAACTGTTTCCTCGATCACAGTAGTTTCTGATTCATTCACAGCATAGTTCATTGGGTGAGACTCTGATGTGTCCAGTTGTTCAGATAATTGAGGAGTAGTAGCCTGACTGCTAGGTGTTACAACCAAGGCAGTTCCAGGAGGCGTTTTTTCATGAACGTCAACTACAAATGAAAAGAATTTATAAACATACAGACTAAGAGAAAGCAGAATGTCAAGAAAATTTTCAAAATAAGAAACTCCCACCCATCTTCTCTACCATTATCTAAAAGTTGTGTATGTTAACCCAGCAAGTGTAAATGACCCAATGAATCAGTCCACCAGCAACAAATAATTTTAATTTTCTTTTATCCTGGTCATTCAAAAACTGTCACATAAATTAAAATATAAAGTTTCTCCTATATCAAGCTTGGATAGGTTCGCAATTGCAATATAAAGTTTCTGCAATCACCAAAAAGCCGTGTATCTTAAGCCAACAAGTATAAGTGACCCAATCAATCATTCATTTAGCAACAGATAACTATGATTTATTTATCATTGTCATGTAAAAACTGTTAAAATTAAATGCAATAGAAAGATTCTGCAATATCAAAATTGAATAGTTTCACAATTGTCATAAACCTGCTAAGAATAGCTGCGAATCCAAAATTATCAGTCCACAACAAAAAGTAAATTTTTTTTTTTCAATAGACATCCAAAAGCTGCTAATCATCATGATAAAAAGTTTCTGCTAAAAAAAGTTTGATTAGATTTGTAAAATCCCTTTTTACCAGAAACGAAGATAAGTGTCCATGAACAAGCACTACTTACTGAACAATGACATAGATTCCCCAAAGAAAGAAACTGTCAACCGAGAAAACGATAAATCCTATATATAATTCCATGCTATTGTCACCAAAAAGTAATAAGCACTTTTCAAATGGAAGAGGAGGGCAGAGAGAAGCGTTCCATTTCCTGTCATGCCATGACAGTGATGTAAACCTGGACTTCATGAGAATTTCTGTGAGTACATGATGGACAAATAGAAATGTTGATATTTCTTTTTATTTTTGTACAGGAAAAGATAGAAAACGATAAACAGACAGAAGAAAGAAGACAAAAGTAGAGAGCATAGATAGAAATATGGGGCAAAAGAAAGGTCAAGAGGAGATAAGAATATTGAATAACAAACAGAGGACATATGACAAAGAAGAGAAACAGATGAGGACCCCAAAGAGAGGGCACAAGGAAGTAGTGAGAGAAATAGAGAGAGCAAAACTTTTTCAAATGATCTTTCAAAATTTATTCACATTTTAGGGATAATTTCCTATTGTGACATAATGCCCAGATACAGGCTTCATAGAAAACCCTAAAAGTATGGAAAAACAGTCTAAACTCATCCGACCAATATGATGACAGATAAAGCATTGAATCTTATTCCCAAAGTCACAAAAACTACCTAAATCTTGAAAATCAGTAGCACCCAAGTTGATTCAGCATTCCTCTCTAAGGTTGGCCCTCAAGAAATCACACACTCCATAAAAAGCAAAAAGTCGGGACACCTGCCTCCGAACCTCAATTCTCAGTCGCTAAGAAGAACAGATATGGATACGAATAAGGATACATTTTGAAAAATCAAGACATTGACATGGCAGGGATACATCAAAAACTTTTTTTTTGTTGTTGATAAATATACATCAAAAACATATTAACTGGCAAACAACAAAAAATAATGGAAACCTAACTAATTGAACATGAAGAAATAACTCAATCCATAATTTAAACATCATTATTTAACATACAAAATACTACTTTGTCAATCAAAAACCATTCACTTTGTTTGGTTCTGATTTTCTGAAAACAGTTTTCAAAAAATTTTACTTTTTTATTTTCCGTATTTTAATGTTTTCAATATTTTTTTTATATTTAAGCAATTTTTTTTTTTTTAAGTTTTAGACACACCTAACATAAATAACTTTAAAATGTATAATATTTGTGAAAAAAATCTTTAAAAAATACACTAAATACCAAAAAATACAAAAAAAAAAAACTAAAATTTAGTACATTTTTCGTATTTTTGTGTATTTATTATTTTTAAAAATATTTTACTATTTAGATACATACATCTAAATAAGGTGTATTTAAAAAAGTAAAAAAATTACTTAAAATTAAAAAAATATTCACTAAAATAAAAAAATAAAAAAAATAAAAAAATCCAATTTTTAAAAAACTGAATTTAGAAAACCGAAACGAAATGCACTGATTATTACTGTATCACAAATGCCAAAAGCATTTAACTTAATAGTAGATAGCTCATCCATAAAAAATAAATAATCACAAGTGAAATGTGTCCGAGGACGTGTCCGGAGGCAAGACACGACTATGGTAACTACTTTGAAGTGTCCATGCTTCATAGCACAGAAGGTCCAACCAAGAAACTATGGAAGTCGAACAATAGATACTATCAAGAGTGATTGCTAGTGATCCTTACATACCATTAGTTGTTTGAAGCTGCGAACTAATCATGACAGCACCAGTGCCCACTATCTCTCCCTCCTGCCAAAAGAATGAAAGAAAAAAAAAAAATAGCAATAACATATTATTTACTAAACAAAACACCTTAAAGAAATTCAAGAAAATTAAAAAAAAAATAAAAATAAAGAGCAAAATTCCCAATACCAAGTACAAATACATACATGTACACAACCACATAAATACCTCAGCTTCAGGAGACAATGCGACTTCGTCATGGCCATAATCCACAATAGTTAGCCTATGCATTACAGTTCTACTCGATTCCATCAGAACCAGTTGTTGCGGCGGTGGCGGCGATGAGAGATATGGAGTTAGAGGCCGAGAATTGGTGGTTGGTTTTGGGGTTGAATCGTCATTGGACAGTGGTGGTGTGTCATCATTAGCCGAATCAACGACTCTCTCTTCGCTCGTGTTGTTCTTGGAATCATCTTCGTTGTTCAAATCCTTGTTATCATTGGCGTCATCGTTTGGGGGTTCTAGGTGTTCCATATCTTCCATTTCGTCGTCATCGTCAGAGTATGTAGAGGAGATTAGATTAATACCTTCCGATTCTCCTCTCCGTGCAGCCATTTGAATTAGGGTTTTCTGATAAGAAATTGATTGGGAGAATTAGGGTGTGATTTGACTGAGATTCAGTTAGGTACTCCATACACAGAAATGATGCAGAAGTTGCTAATACACATATACATACATGCAGAGATAGAGAGATTCATACCTTGTTGAGAAGGCGATTTTCGAACAGCAGTGAGAAAATACGAATTTTGGAGAGAGAGAGAGAGAGAGAGAGAGAGAGAGAGAGTGAGAGAGAATTGTTTTCCAGAGAGGAAGAGAGTAATCCAAGGCGAATCGAATTGAGAGAAAGCCCTAGCTAGATACACAGTGGTAATGTTCTTGGAATTGACTTAAGAGTGAAAGCCCTGAACAGTAGGGTAATCCAACCACAAGTACAATTCTACTTGGCCAGAGTATCAATCGACCATGGGAAATAGAAAACATGGATGGAGCTGCAAATCAGACACTCGGAAAAAACACATATATTTATATATAATCCCTCTTTTCTACCCACCCTTTGACCCCCTCATTGGTTACCACTTTTTTTTTTTTTTTTTCAATCACCACCTGTCACGTAACAAAAGAAGGTGAGGGGATGACCCCCAAAAGGGGTTCCAAGTATTATTCATTTACATATATATTAAGGCAAAAGGGTTTCTAATTAGGAGTTATAACTGTCTTTTTAAAATTATTAATTTTTTAATTTATAAAATAAATTAAAAAAAATTTATTCATTTTATTATTTTAAAAATAATAATTATTTCTTAATTTATAAATTTTAAATAAAAAGATAACAAAAATATTTTATAATCATTTCATTCTAATCATTCTCACTGATTTTTATGATTTTTAAAAGAAAATATTAAAACTTATATTTCTTCTCTCTTTTAAAAAAAATTAGATAACATTTTTCATAGGAGTTGTAGATATGTATCTATATTTTATTATATCTTATATATTATATTATAACATAACAAAAAAAAAAATCAAATATATACAAACAGATAAAATTAAAAATCTTTCTTTTGCCTCTCAATATCCAATTTTAAATTTTAAAAATCTTTAAAGTCTATCTAAACAAATCTAATTTGAAAATATCTCACGCCATCATACTTTAAATCAATAAAACTCACATGTCTATCGCATATTTAACTCACATCATAATTTACCTAAATAATAATTAAAAAAATATGGAAACCACATTGAATTTAAAACAAAATATAGAAACCATAGCTAAATTTAAAAAAAAAAAAAATAGAAACTCACAACTCCATCTTAAATAAATTGAAAAAATAAATAAATAGAAACTATACAAAAATAAAGAATATAAGAATTTAAATATGGATCTCAAAAAAATATGACAATATCGAAATTCGAATTATGATTTAGTAATATGACTATCTTTTCTTTTTTTTTTTTTTTTATGTATATCTATCAAAATTTTAAATCACTTAATAGGACATATTAATCAATTTTCAAGTCTTATTTAAAGAATAATTTAATTAGTCATCCTAACTCCTATACTTCGTGAGCACTGGTTGAGGAGCGGAGGTCTAAGTTGTTGGAGGTAAGATCCTACCACTCCATAAATTTATTTGTTATTTTATTTTTATTTTTTTCCCTGTATGATTCTCTTTCTCTATCGTTGATTTTGGTTTCGATTTTAGTAAGATTTATGTGTTTGTTTATAGATTAGCATGTTGGAGAAGAATTATTGGTGATATGGTTGCAATCGAAGTATCTATGCTCGTTTTGTGCCAAGAATTTTGATAAGATTTTATTCTCTTCATGAAGACCATAAAATTGAAGGTAAAAAAAAAATGGGCAACGAATTTTTTATTTTTTATTGTTTTTTTATTTTATAGAAAATGTGAAAAATTATTGGGAATTCAAGATTTTTACTATAACATTAGATTTTTGTATAACTAGGTAAATTTAGAATTGTTAAATATCATTGTGTTCCTTATTTTTATCCTCTTTCTATTCCATTTAGGAGTGCTTGCGGGCCGGTTGCGGCTAGGGGATCTCCAATCCACCATCCGTCCAAAACTAGACGGATTGAAAAAAATCAATCTGTAACCATGCGCCAGATTAGCGGATGCGAATTAAGAGAATTGATGTATTGGTGATTGGATGTATATCGGTTTGGCGGTTTGAACATTACAAGCTTAACTTCTTTCACTTTGTCTTTCTTTCATCTTTTGTTTCAGATTTTTATTTTTCTTTTCAGATTGTTAGATTACATTATAATTTTCTTTGTCTGGCAGGTCATAATACTTATTCAAGTGAGAACCAAATAACATTTGATATTAGACACCAATTTACAAAAGTGAACAAATGCCTACCCAAGATCAAATTAAGGACACACCTCTTTACAAAATCTATATCTTCAAAAACATTTTTTATTTCTGGAACATTAATATTATATTTAATTAAGAAAAAAAGCACATATGATTTTTTTGGGGTTTCATTGTATCTGTGGGAGTTAATTTCCGACCACACAATCAAACAGAGAACTTAGCTAGAGAGCATATGGTAGAATAAATTAAGTCAACCATCTGCCAACAAGAAAATGAGAATACCGCGGTGGTTTCTCCACCCAAGGCCATTTCAACGATCAAGTCAGTCAAACAATCTCTCAAAGATCTCACATAAGTACTCAATGCACCAATTGCGTACCTTAGACCCACGGAGGTACCTCACTTTTATAGCCAGCAATGACTTAGTCCTCTAGAGGTTTCACTTCGCAGGACTCAGGCTCAATATTCATCTCGAACTCTCAGTTACATAAGGATAAACTCCTCAAAAGCCTTATCCTTATCCAGACTAAGAGCCTCCTCTTATCTAGGACTCTTGTCCTCTATCTAGATATCTCATAATCTGTGTATTACCGCACCAAACCTCAGTGATACCGCGATTATCTTGGCAACTATGACTCACCCACGTGGCACTTTAGCTAACATCTTTGGAACCACCTCGGCCACGTGGTGCCATTCACAAAATATTTCCCCACAACTGTCCTCTAGGTTCCATTACCTCGGCAACCTAAGGTGATGAAACCTATACATGTACTTCTTCGACCGAGATCGTGACTCGTCGACGCCAAGAAACAAGGACTCAAGTATCCACTTCATCAAGAATCAAGAGCCAAGTTCTTTCAACATCTCAACCAAGATCGCTTCTCTAGTCGAGGTCATTACCCCACTAGTTCAAGAATTCCAAGAATCTCTATCGCTCATGAGCTGTTACACTCCATTGCCTCAACCGTTTCTTCCACGTGTTTGTAGACACCCCATTTTTGACCGACCTTGAGACTCAGACGTCACCAGTTGAGCACTTGGTGATATTGCATGATGTGCTCGTTCAGAAGTCTCGGAGTCGCGGCCGTGAGCCCTGCCTCCGGACTTCCGAACCCTCTTCTGTGCCCTGTCTCGGTTTGCGAACCAGACTCGGTTTTCCCTGCTTCTTTTCCTGAGGGGAGGGAGAGGTCCAGCAGACCATCTCTCAATGCCCGTGGGCTACATTTGGTGGCCATAGGCCATTTTTCCCATTTCGGAGCCCGGTTTCCGGTTTTCGGAGCCGTCAGGCCGTGTGCCTCGGTTCGGGACCGCCTAACCATCTCCATTTGCTCTGATTTTTGGAATACATCTTATTTTCTCCCTTTTGAGGGACACTGGGGTCTGAGAAACCCACTTCGTGGCCGAACGCCACTTTCGGTGTTTAACGGGCAGTTTCCGGGGCCCCGAACTGCGTGTTTTGGCCCCCGAACATTCGTTTTGCATCGGTTTTCGTTCATTTTTGGCAGGTACCTCTGTTTTATCACAAGGAAGGTCACTGAAGGGTGGGAGGCCAGCAATTGTTGCAGCAACCAGTTATCTCTCCTCCGGAGCCTCCCGGCGCCCACGGCTCGCCGAAGCGAGGTTGAGGTAACAATCGATCGAGCAAACAGGAGGCAGAATTGAGGGCCACATAAGTAGTAACAACTGTGTTCCGAATCCCAATCCGCAAAGTCCTGTATTAAATTCGGAACCAGCCCTATTTCAGAACGCTGGAGAGGACTCCAGGAGAGTTCATGGTCCCCTTTTTAGGTGCGTACATCCTTTTCAAGTTGAAGATTTTTTATATGAAATTCATGAAGGCATTTGTGGAAGCCACGCTGGGGGCAGATCACTCGCCTATAGGGCCATCACCCAGGCAGGTTCTCAATCACACTCCATTCTCTTTCTCTCTATTTATATATACATACACATAAGCACTGAAACCCACATAATGGATTAGGGATTTGGACCTCAAAGAGGTCTCAAATGAATTTATATGCTGACATATGCACACATTGCATTGTTTATGCATATATTAATTATATCAAGATGTTGTATTGATGAATTAAGGGAGCATATCAATTAGGGCAAAAAAGTTAAATTCTGTTTGCAATCTCAGATGGGTTATCGTCGGAGTGTATATATATATACATTTGTATGTGTGTATATATAAACACTTATATGTGTGTGTATATAAACTGATGTAGTGTATGATTATATATTTTGATAGGTATATATCTTTGGTTGTTCAAATTTTTCCTATGGACCAAACCAGAGAATTTATCTGGACCAATTCAGAGAAAATTCAATTCAAACCAGAGAATTTCTCTGGACCAACT